CTGAATTCAGTGTTTGCAAAGAGAGATTTTTAACGAAAGAAAATGGATGTCCCTGCTGTAGAAATATCTTTACGTCAAACAGCAATAAAACAATCCCTTGGTACTGGGCAGGGTTTCAGAAAATGTGACTGCAAATCTAAATGTACTACAAATAGGCCTGCTTGTCGCAAAAACCAATTTCTACGTAATTCAAAGTGTCACCAATCTTTAGATTGCACTAATAAGTAAGTACAATTTTATCATATGTTTGGCAAATTCATTTCCCTAATTGTAATAATATTTTAAACCGTTTGATTTTTGTATTAAAGTTTTTTTAATTGATTGATGATTGATTCAATCAACTAATTTGTTGATTGTTTGATTGTATTAATTTGATTCTTTAGATATTGAAAATTAAATAAATAACATTATGTTAATTTAAGCGTACAGAAACGTTGCTGTTGTTCCAGCAAAAATCTTATTTTCATTTTACCGAGTGCCTAGTAGGTAATGTGCAATTACCTAGATACTCTGCACATTACCTAGGTAATTTGAGAAATAAAACAATTTTAGCAACTTTAATTAACGGATCATCCTAGTTAATGTGCAGATTAGCTAGGTAATGTGCACATTAACGGATTTGTAGCTTTAGCGGTAACAATTATACAAAAGCGAAAGGATTAATGTTGAGGGTAAAAACGAGTTTTTTTACGACCGATCCCACTAAACATATTATATTGGGCATTAAGAGAGCCTCTTTTTAGGAAGCTCATTATGGGTTCGTCCAGGCCCACAATGGGGGGGCCGAGTGGTGAGGGACAGGGCCCGACATATCAGGTCGGATCACCCCCGAAAACTTCGTGGGGATTTTTCGATCTGTCTGGATTCTGATCCCGGGTCCCCCGGAGCAGTAGTCTGCCACCTTAAACGCTCGGCCATCCAGCCTAGGGAAAGAGAGTTAAAGAAAAACACCAAATTTTTTCAGGAATTGGATTGATAGGATAAGGCAATGTAAGACATGGGCGCCTTACCAATGGGGTGCCCCGCGAGGACTTGTGGGAAACGGACCAGTATTTAAATGTGACACACGTAAAGAAAACCCAGAAAAATTCACACGCGGTGATCAGGTGCGAACCCACTATCAATATTCAACATCGCTGGAATACGGATTCGAATGAAAAATTTCCATAAAATTTTCCAAGTCCCACTCCGACTATTTCTCGAATTCTTTAAAAAGTTAAATTTTTTATTTGAAAAAAAAACCTATAAAAATGCCCACCAGTGGCCGAGTGGACTCCGTCTCCGCTCATAGCGGCCGTGATCAGACACTAAATACTGAGAGTTCGGTTGTAAGTTCGCGCCTCGATTGGACAGGCTGGCAGCTTGGAGTTTTCCGGATTTTCTCCGTGCAGATGACACCTAAATAGGGGCCAGCTTACCATAAAAGTCCTCCCGAAAGGCGTTCTATCTCGACGGCCTTCGTGTATCTTCCTGCTGTCTTCTATAAGGTCAGCTCTTCCCTCCCCTTGCGATCTATCTCCTGTCTCTCTTCTCTTCGGAGTACAAGCGAATAGCAATACACTCCTCTATGAACGAAAGGAAAGGAAACTATAAAAATTTAATAAACAAACAAAAATATTTTTTTAAATATTAAATTTTTTCTCTAAAAAAGTGACAGCAGGGTGCGCTGTCGTTTGTACTCGCTGTGTAAACGTGGTTAGTATTTTTCGTCTCGTGTTAAATATTTAGTTTTACAGTAAATAAACGGAACTTACGTTAACAATTATTGTCGTTTTAGATAATCAAAAATGACGCTGGAAGAAGTTGTTGTACGTTTATCGGAGAGAGCCAAAGCTATGAATGAAATCATTGAGAGATCGTATAAAATGTTGGAGCAGATGAAGAAGAGAATATATTCCGAGCAAGAAAAGAAACTAAAATTGGAAAATAAGCAATTACAAGATGAAGTAGAGATATGGAAATCGAAATTAATTGATTTAGAAACTAAACATGGTTTAAAACAGATCCCATTACCTACAAATAAAGTAGAAATTGAACCTGTATCTGTTATAACACCAGTTCAAAGCAGTAGTAATGTTCCAGTAGTTAGCCAAGTAAAAGATGAGTCACCTCCTAAACATGACAAAAATGACAAACCGGGTAAGCCAAAAAAAGTAGAAAAGAAAACTCCAAAACCAAAAGCCGACGGGGACGGAGATGCACGACTGGTCGACGTCAGTCGCCTGGATTTCAGAATCGGGATCATTCAGACTGTTTCCAAACATCCGGATGCAGATTCTCTTTACGTTGAACAGATAGATTTGGGTGAAGATAAGCTGAGAACCGTTGTGTCCGGTCTGGTAAAGTTTGTGCCACTAGAAGAAATGCAAAACCGGTGGGTTGTTGTACTGTGCAATCTCAAGCCAGCCAAGATGAGAGGGATCTTGTCGGAGGCAATGGTGATGTGCGCATCTACTCCCGAAAAAGTAGAAATTCTGAATCCTCCATCTGGCTGTGTTCCAGGAGACAGGGTATCCTTTGAGGGATATCCTGGTGAACCAGACACCTTACTGAATCCTAAAAAGAAGATATTTGAGCAAGTTGCACCTGATCTGAAAACAGATGCAAATTGTGTAGCCACTTACAAAGGAGTACCTTTTGTTGTCAAAGATAAAGGCATAATAAAAGCATCCACTTTAGCTAATGTAAATATTAAGTAACATTTCTCTTATTGTAGAATTATTTGTAATGTTATAGATTTAGTTAGGTTTTAATTTGTGTGTATCTTATAAGATTAATATATTTTTGTGTTTACTAATATTTTTTTTTTTTCATTTCTAAACATTGTTAAATATTTCTTAATTTAACAATAAATGCTTATATTTAAAAGTGATTATTTCATTGATGATTAAAATATGAATAATGTTAATTACATTATAAATACTTAATTATTTTCTTTACTTATAACTTAACAAATCAGATGTATTGTTAGAACTACAGAAATTTATAGTTATCCAAATTATCAATACTGACAAAGGAGAGTTATACAATCAAGAGGGCATTGGAATAGAATGAAACTTTTACTACAAACATAATGACTGTGATAATAAGTGATTAACACAAAGGGATAATTCAAATTAACCTTTAGTATCTTGTAGAAACTGCCCGTTGCCTATACATGTTGCAATATGGTTGTGTTTACCAGCACTGTATGCTATCATGTGACAGATTTGTCCACAGATATTGCAACTGTCACTCTAGATTCCCCATAGTTGTAGATAGCTAGACTGGTGTCCCATCTAATTTCATGAATGCTTGATGGGTGACAAATTTGGGGTCAGCAGGTAAGGAAGAGTGGCAACATAACACATTTTTGGGAAACTCCAGGGCCATGTCCAGTAACGCAGAACACTTAAGTTAGAATTTTGAGTGGCTTAGTGGACAGAGCTAAGAATGTTCTGAGTATCATTGAACAATTATTCTTAAACAACTGGGCAAAATGTGGACAAAGTTAAAATTATGATTGCAACAAATCTTGCAAACAAACTGGTTGAAAAGGATGAAGTAACCAATACAATTATTCAAATGGAAGCTGCATTAGATCGTGATGAAATTAATTAAACAAATATTTATTGTAATTAACGAAATGGACTGTTGTCTTCCGTTAAATTGTATTCGGAATCTGTCATACCGATGTATGATAATTTTACATTTCAAAGTAATTTTAGAATGAGTTAATGATTTGAATGAGAGAATAACATTGTGATTGTTATAATAAAATACGTTTGTCCAACATGAGCAGCCATCTTGCAAATCATATGACGAGACAAAAACAATGTCACTAGTAGAAGTTAGGATAGATAAAAGAAGCTGACTGAACTAGCTAGAATACAAGTTCAAACAAGCTTTAAAATGAGTTCAACATCACAGCATAACTAGACTTAGCAAGAATTCTGCATTACTGAACACAGCCCAGTTGTGTGCAGCTGAACATTATCTTGCTGAAAAATAGATGCTTATAGTCATGTCATGAATGGCAACACTAGATACAGGATTTCTTGAATGTATTGCTGTGCCATCAATGTTCCTTATGTCAGTATATCTACAGTAGGAGTGACTGTCATACCAGATAGCTCTTCATATCAGCATACCAACAATTGGGGCATTATGTACCACTTAATAGTAAAAATGGTATTGGTGCACTCAACAGTGCTCCTCCAAACTAACAGTGTGGTAGTTGTTCCGAAACAGAACTAAGATTTTTCACTAGAGATGATTGATACACTGCTAATCTTTAGCAGTCATGCTTCTCTGTCATGGCACCTTGCAAATGAAACTGACATTGTTTGGATGTTAATAGCAGAATGCATCAGTTGCTATGCATACAAATTTGCCTTTGATAATTGCTTGCCAATGGTAAGGGAAAATACAGAGTTCTGCAGCAAGACTTTCGCCTGTTTCTGAATAATGGATAAAGATGCAGGTAGAGTATTCTTGTGATCATCTCTCCTAATAGTCTGTTTGGGGCTTCTAAAGCCTGCCTGCCACATATGTGTAACCTCACCACACCTTTCACATATCCATTTCCCCCATATCATCAAAGTAGGTCAGAATGGCCCAGATAGATGTTTGGAGAAATGGCCATCCTGCTTTCCTCAGCTCAGTGATATGGCCTTTTTAAACTGTACCAGCTGTGAGTAAAATCTTTGATTGTGTCCCACAGATGCACCTTGTGTTTTAAGACCTCTAAATAATAGTAAGTACACTGAAAATTCTGAACACATTGAGCCTTTTTATATGATACTGGGATAACAATTTTAAGACACTTGTAGCATTACCTGGTGTGCAACTGGACCATAACTAATTATTTACATATCTGAGACAGTTGTAAACCAAGTTTTGCAGAAATTGGGCGATTCTATCAGAGTACATAATGTACACTCGGTAATTACTGATAATTGTTTTTGTCAAAGAATGCAAACAAAGCCTGAAAATAATATAATTTTGTTAGATACTGTATTTCATAATTCATATAATTCCTCACTTCTAATCATTAACAGATTGTTAATTTGAATCAACATAATAAATTGTCTCAAAATTGCAAAATTGTATGAAAAAGAATTTATAAAATAGAATCCTTTTGCATTGATATCATAAGAGAGTGGATTATTTTCTCAATTAATTGAAACATTTTAACTATAAAAGAATGTTCCAATATATTTTAAATGACTTTGTTTATAATCTTACAAACATCTAATAAATTTTTTATTTACAAATTATTTTAGCCCTATAAACAATCCACAAATATAAGAGAAAGCAGAATGAAACAAAAATTCTTATAATAATGAAATTTTAGAAGAAAAATTTAGTAATTAATGAATTTTCATTTTTTAATCTCAAAAATATAATGATTAACACAGTTTATGAGTTTTAAACAGGTATTAGTTTAAATTTAATACAATATCCCTGGCTTTTTAGTTTGTTAATTCAAAGTGTCATCCAACCCTTTTCTCTAATACTTGAACCATTTTTTGGAAGGTACTGAGTTTATATTGAGGATCCAATTGATTCAATTTAAATAATATAAAACACTACTGCACTTAAATATTGAGAAATTTTAATAGAAGTACAGTAGAATCTCGAAAACTCGGCCTAATGTGGACGAAGGGTGGCCGAGTTTGTGAAAATGCCGGGTTATCGGGAATGGGGTTAAAAAAAATAAGTATGAGTGTTTCCTCAGAAAATGCTGTACTGTACTTGTATGTATTGTTTACTTGAGAATACATTAGAGAATAAACTGCCCAAATACCCTTAAACAAAGGAAAAGTACGTCCTTTATTAAGGCATAGAGCCTTTACTACATGAATATGAAAATTAATGAATATACTGTGTACAGTAATTTACCTGATAAGACAGACCTCAGAAAAATACTTCATGAGGTATAAAGCTGTCTATAATGAAAATTAATTAACTAAGGATTTTTTTGCCCTGCCAGGGTGTGGCCGAGTTATCCGGACTGCCGGGTTATCGAGTGCCGAGTTTTCGAGACTACTGTATTCAGATTATTTTGATCTAATTCTTATATTTTCAACAGAAGACTAATAATTTACAAAGAAATTTCTACATTTCTGTAATAATTTTACATTTACGAAATTCATTTTATATTTAAAATATCCAATTATTTTATCTGAAGCCATTATGATTTGTGTTTTTTTTTAATATACTGTATATGTAAAAAAAGTTAAGTAAAGTGTAAAGAATTATGCAAAAATGTTGCGACATTAATTTAATCAAATGATAAAGCAGAACAAATTTTAAAAAAATTTCCCACTAAACAATATTATCTTGCATTAACGACAATTAAATATTTTTCAGGCAATCTATCATTATGTTCACGTGACTTAGTGATAAGCAATAAAAGTGCAATTGTGTGTAATAAAATTTTCGTTTTTGTGAGAACTCACCAACGTTTGAAAATGCCCAACTCAACACTAGATGGGTGAGTTATAAATTTCTTAAATTTCTCAGTGTTTTCGTGTATTTTCCTACACTAGAAGCAACTTGTTCATAGATAATATTAGATTTTTGTATAATTTAAGCATGTAATAATAAGGATATGTGTTTTAACATAACTCTCCCTTTATTTTTGTATTTGAGATAAAAGACTATAAATATTTGCAGTTTACACTTATATCATACCCCTTTTATTGTTGTAAAAAGGTGAACTATCAATACTTTATCCTCGGTAGGAAAATATATAAAGATAAGCTCTTTGATCTTGTTTCGTTAATTTTATATATACAGTACAAAACGTTTTAAAAGAGAAAAATAGTTTATAATTGTAATTTTTAGCATAATCCAAATTATCCTACTACAATGGTTCTAGATTCCATAGGTTTGTTCTAAAGCTAAATAAATCTATTGCATCTATAATTTTTACTTTAGTAAAGTGTAATTTTGGGAGAATTTTTGCTGAAATATGTTTAATTATCATTCTTCATTGGGCTGCAATTTTAAAAAAATTGTAGACCTATAAATTCCCACTGTCGTCCGACCGTCCGTCTTTCGTTAATCTCGAGAACGGAGTTAGGTAGATGAAATACGAGACCAGATATGGAAACCTTAGGGGCAGAGGGCACCGATTAACTTTCCGATACAAACCAGAAGTCACATTATTTCGATTTAAAATGCTGTTACTGTACCTGAAAGTAGTTAATAGATGATCGGCACGACTCTTAAAGGAAAAGTATGATGTACTGTACAGTACAGGTGCAAGCCACTACTAATAAATTGAGGTGGAGAGAATATATTTTAAATTAAATAAATAAAAAATTGCAGTCCGGCATTTTGACGATGTCTCAATAAATAATTGCTCGTAATCTTAAGAAATCGGTGCCAAGAGATTTGAATGATTATAAATCTACAAACCAAACATATTACTCGCTTGTTGATTTACCTTGAAAACATTCTATAGTACTTGCTACACGTTGATTTACCTTGAAAACATTCTATAGTACTTGCTACACCACCAGGACCATGCTGAAAGAAATTTATTTATAAATTATTATAGATTAAAACTATAAGATCCATTATTTTTCGAATTCTATGCTAATTAAAAATCAATTGACCAAAAACAATCCACAAACTTTCCTTAAAAAAACACTAAAACTTCCTGCAATTTTTCCTTCTATCATGTGTTAACTAGAAGGAAAAACCGGATTCTTATCTGTTTACTTCAAAGGTGATATTGGATAAGACATTGATTACATTATCTTATACCCATTGTTTAGCGTATATCGATAATCGAACCTACTAATGAAAGAGGTAATAGTGTAAGTGAAATTTGATTCGGTGCATTCCAAAATTTAAATTAATTATTTTATTAATTAAAATGGCCAATCAGATACGAATTGTTTATAAAATGGACATCTTCAATCAATTTAAGATTCTAGATATACAGACTACGTGAATTTCCGTGGATAGTCACGAAGATCCACGAAATCTCAAGTGGACGAACCTGTATTACTTATGGAAATAGACGAATAGCTTATCACATGGTCATGTACAGTTGTTACTTTTGAAATGTTTTGTTGTAGAATCCTAAATTCCTGGAGTTAGGCTGTGTACACACTTAGGCGTTTTGCGTTGCGTTAAACGCGCGTTAGCAGCGTACACACCAGGCGTTAGCTCGGCGTTAGACGAGCGTTTAGTGGAGCATACGCACTGGCTCAGTTTGGAAATGGACGTGAAAGTAATTGCTTGTGTGCCCTCCTCCATCGTCGCTATAAAAGACGATGGCAGAGGCAAAGAGAATTTTGGGTGCACCCAATATTACGAGATAGACTGACACATGGAATGTTTGCGACGTTGTATCCAAAATTAAGACAAAATGAACCCAAGTTTTTTAATTCTTTTAAAATATCTATAAAATCATTTGACAATGGTTGGTCTCTTTTAGATTTCATCAATAAATAGATCAGTATCGAAATGATCGTTCTCCATTTCGGCCAACGTACGTCCACTCTACCCGAAAGCGCGCGATCGAATGTACAGTAACATGGCAGCACATATATCTCAAAGCGCTCGGCTGACGCCCGCAAAACGCGCGTTTTAAGAAAAATCTATAAACGCACGTTTGAGTGTGTACTGTACGCCTATGCAGAACTCTTGGTTCGTCAAACGCGCGCTTTTAAACGCGCGTTTAAAAACGTCTAGTGTGTACGCAGCCTTAATCTCTCGAAATTGATTGGCGCCACGATTTAGATCATTAGAGACCCGACAATACGGATCGACCAGCATTGGCGAGGGATGAGAAACGATGAGAATCTATACCTATGATAAATTTAGTGGATCTAGTAAGGATTCGAACCCAGATGTTTGTTTGTTTGTTAAGTTATGACAACTCAACACTTGGGCTATCTGCCTAGGAGGATGCCTTCCGGGAGGTCTTTTTAAGGGAAACTGGCCCCTATTTAGGCGTTACAGACGTGGAAAACTCCACGTGACCAGCTCGTCGGAGCGAGGCGCGAACCTAGGACCGAACTCCCAGTGTTCATAGTACGAAGACTGCTTGGCCACTGGTGGGCACCGAACCCAGATCCAGTGACTATTTTTGATTTGATTTCTTAACGAGAATCACAAACAAATTACGCATGGCAGCACTGAAGATTATCTATGGAAACTCTCAATGTTGCCTGTCACTGAATTCTAGAAAAGACGATTTCCAAGACTCGAAGTCATTTCAGTTAAGCAACTTTCATGAAACTCGTTTTTTCTAATCAAGTTTTCATAACAAAACGAAAATAACATTATCTTCTATGATATAAATGTGCTAATTCATAATGAGCCGCAAATGAATACATTTTCTTTCACCTTATCCGATGAATATTCATGAATATTGAAAAATTGTTGAAAAAATCAAAATTGGGAGAATAAAATATTTTTTCATATAATTTGATTAATTTTTGGATACTAAAATGAGTACTGTAAATATATGAACTAATTGATATGGTAAGAGTTGAGACAATAATTTAAAATTTTAGCTATGGCTACTCGAGAATATTACTGGCTAAGTGGAGGTCTCAGTTTGATTTCTCGTGAGTGCCCACCAGTGGCCGAGTGGATAAAACCATTGAACGGCTTTATCCACTCGGACACTAGTTGGCACTGGAAGTTGGTCGTTGGTTCGCGCCAACATCCACTGGCCACGAAGTTTTCCGGGTTTTCGTCATTTTTGTAACACCTAAATAGGGGCGTTTTCCATAGAAAGTCCTTCCGGGAGGCGTCCTTCCTCGGCAGTTTGCCCGTCTTGCGTTGCCGTATACAAATAACAAATAATTCAATCCGTAATCCAAATAAATAATTTTATTTTTATGGGAGTTTATGAATAAAAAGCAATCAACAATAAGAATATTTTGTGTAATATAAGGGAGGCCCATAACCGTTACGTGTATTTTTACAAGAAAAGGTGTTAAAGCATCATAATTTCTATAATTGAATAAAAGGAGCTCCGTTTTGTAAGTAATAAAAATATTTGAATAATTTAATCTTTATAATGATTGACTGAATTTTTGGGCCATTCTGTGTATAAAATTTTATCTTATTTTTCCAAATCAAACGGTATAAGATATCGTGTTTCTGTATTCTATAAATATGTAAATAGCTTTATGTTCATAGATTTTTTCTTGTGAACAAATTTAAAAAAAAATCACCGATAGCAATTTAAAAAACTAGTTTAAAAGTATGTTTAGGCGTAAGAAATTTAATTTAGATAAAAATTTGATTTCCATTGAGTTTTCTAATCTGCTATTTACACTAGATACTGTTTTGAAAGCAGTAACAACAGATTATCGAAGACCAGAGATCAAATTTCTCAACTTTAAGATTTCTATATCTTGGGGCGAAATGATTTCAAAAAAAATAAAAAAACACCTTTTGCAACTCTATTTAATCACTTGAATCAGTTACAAATTCAGAAATTTGTTTCTTTTTAAAAGATAGCAATGTACACGAATCCATGCTAAATCTCATATTCACTTGTATTAATTTATGCTAACACAAATGGATACCCGGTCCTTTGCCCGTGGCTCTATGAAGGCTTGCCAAAAATGCATTGTAAGTGGCCATACCCGTGACTGCACCGCGTGTTGCGGGATTCTTTCGTATAGTATGCACTGTAAATCGTTCTCCGTCGACGAGTGGTCCTCGAGCTTCTACTTCGACCACGTGATGCTTTTCCAACGAGGGATCTGCCACTAAACACCCCATCACCCCGTCCATACCCAAATTATGAGCGGCTATTGCGGCGGTGGCCATGGTATTAGTATTGTTGGGAGCCATTTTGCAAATCTTACGCACCGGTCCTTCGTACAATATAACAGGCCGATCGACGACCGCTTCGTTTCTTTTTTTCATCTCCCCCGTTAATTTTATGCTAGAAGGATGCTTCCTCATTGTAATTTTGGCAAATTCTAGCATATTAGTTTCCGCCAGTTTTTGTAAATCTTCTCCTCCCCAGAGGGCACCACTGGGAACGTACACTCCGTGTTGTATGGCAGCTGCGCGAAGGCGGCTCTCCACTTCCGGATCTGCCAGAGCGGTGGGAGAGCCGATGACGTAATCGGAAACGGCTACGAAGTCACTTCCGTGTTTTGCTGTAATATCCGGATGGGCAACTTCCACTATGACGTCGGCCGGTCGGCTGTGGAAATCAGAGAGTTCTCTCAATACTAAGTTCGCGTCTACGTCTTCTAGAGCACAGGGAGTTCGATTCCATACGAAAGCGACTCGAAAATTGTTCGAATCTCTGAGGGAACGATACAAAAATCTTCCCAAATGACCATATCCCACTATTCCGACTCGCCTGGCCTCCATTTAAGTTTAACTTAATTTATCGATCCCACAATTCCGTACTATTCTAAAGTTGTCTTGAAATGTTAGCGTGACGCAACAATAGATAACGGGTGGGGCGACCTTGACTTATCGATGCCTCTGTTTATTATCGACATTTCCGCTTCGATGACGTATTTCCTCTGTCCATATACAATGTTTTCTAGACAATAATGTTTATCTTGGATACTTCCTGATCTCTACTGGTTACATTTAGTAATACTAACAAAATACATATTGTAAAAGGGTCCAAAAATATAATAAACTAACCAAATTAATTTCAGAAATTTTGATTCTACTCACACCTTTAATTTAAAATCTTTGGTTCTGAGACCCTCCTCTGTAGTTAGATGCATGATTAATTTCATGTTTCTAGCTGTAACTTCTGTATTGATTTACACAATACCTTTAATACGAACACATACAAATTGTTACAGTTATCACAGGAACATCAGGTTCGATCGTTCTGTATTATGTGCATACCTTTCAAATCATTTGTATCTTATAACTTACAATTACTATCTAAATTTACATCTCCAACAAAACATTTTCGAATGAATGTACCTAAATTTTAGGATATTGTTTTCACGGTTCATATCACTGTAATGTCATTAACATCTAGCATCCACGTTTCAGTTTTTATCTTAGCCCGAACAATAAACAATGATGATAATTAAAATTCAGTATCACTATATAATAACCGGTATTGCTTTATAAAAACTTTAAAAAAAATCAAACAATATAACTTAGTTTGAATAACTTAGTAATTAAATAGAAATCTGATAAAACTATATCAGATTTCTATTTAATTCTGTATAATGAATTTTATAAAGAAATGAACTCAATTTTTTCTTACTGTAATTAATATAAGACTATCTAATATGGCAGACTCACCATAACGTGTACAGTACGTAGTTAGCAGCTTCTTTAGATGATATAGTACAGTATTTGTTTATTTTATAAAACACATATCCAGGCTTCTTTGCCACCTTCAATCGTTTCCTATTCTCAAGAAATCAGAAAAATATTTATAAATTTTGGCATTTTCCTTATTAAAGAGTAAAACTTCTTGCTTTTTATAAGAATTTTTTAGCATAAAACAATAAATTTAAAAATTATATTAATGTCATAATCAATAGAACATTTTTTACACTCAACTATTGTACTTAATTGTATTCTCCAGTTTAAATTAATTAAGCATTAAACCCCTAAAATTTACTTCAAAAACATTCCTTCCGATCGTTCTTTAATTATAATTAATGCTAAAAATACATTTATAAATTTAATTACTACAAATGTCTTGATTATAAACGAAGGCCGCAACTACTTTAAAATAATTTTGCTATTTAATTTTAATTAGCTTAATTATTTAATTCCTTTATTATATACACAAAATAAAATATTTCATTATTCCAAAGCAAACATTATTAAATTCGAGATTTTAAAAAGGTTTTTATGGAATACAGTACATGTATAATGGGAAATAATTAAGGACTGGTAAAGTTGCGGGTCGATGACTGACGTCACTTATCAGGGAATTGTCAATTGTCGGTCACGTGTTAGGAAGGGTAAGTATTGTCATTGTTGCGTAAATGATTACGTGTTTGGAAACATTAACACATAAACGGCGACAATTGGTAACAGTGTTATTACTCTATCGGTCGTTAGTATCTTTGCGAATGGACCAAATTTAGTGATATGGATGGCATTTTTTATATAATAAAAATACTGATCGTAAGTACAAATTGTAATGATGTATAAGAACGATAATCAGTCTCGGAAAATACAAGAAATGCTTAACTGTAAGGAAAATTATATTGCACAAAACGCGAGAATTCTCCCGAATGCAACAAGTTCAGGTCACAGGTAAAATGTCAGATAGAAAGGTCACCTGTTCGTAAGTTTTATGCATAATTTACTTGTTTTTCACCCCAAATAATTTTTTTTGGCATCTACAGTTTAAAATTCGCATTGATTCACTAAAATTTTAAGTACAGTTGCGAAATATTCAGGACAGCTTTAACACAATAGAAAACATGTAAACACCGTGGTAACCGTTACCCTTGTTTAGGGCCCCTAAGCTGAGCCTGAACAATTTAGGACCTTTACAAATTACAGTCTAATTAAGCTTGATAAGGCATCAAAAGCAGGCGATTTTCTTATTGAATATTATAATTTAACGCTTAAAGAACTTAAAATTAGTTCTTTAGTTTAGTCCAGGTTTGTCTTTGGAATGAAAAATTTTAGTTTAAATTAGTTTCTAAAAAAATTTAAAAAGTTACAGTTTTAATTAAAATCAAGATTTTATTTCTATCTAAATAAATTAACATAATTAATAGTAATTAATTATTCTGAAAGCTGCAGATACTACTACTACAAAACTGCATTTCAAAGGGCAGATTCTGTTTTGGATTTATTCTTTAAAATTAATTTTATATTCGAATTATTCAGTAGGATTTGTATTTACAGGGTGGTCCAAAAGTCTGTTAACATCGTGAATTGCTCATGCAAATTAGGAAAGGATTTTGTAGTTTATACTTATACTTATAGTATAAAGTATTTGAATAAAGGCAGCGGGA